AACCCTCCTACACTGCTGGTGGAGATGTAAATTAGTTCAATGACTGTGGAAAGCAGTATGGAGGTACCTCAAATGCTCAACATAGACTTACCATTTGACCCAGGAATTCCACTTCTAGGAATTTACCCTAAGAATGCAGCACTCCAGTTCGAAAAAGGCAGATGCACCCCTATGTTTAACGTAGTACTATTTACAATAGCCAAGAAATGGATGCAACATAAGTGTCCATCAGTAGATGAATGGATAAAGAAGATGTGGCACATATACACAATGGAATATTATTCAGCCATAAGAAAAAAACAAATCCTACCATTTGCAACAACATGGATGGAACTAGAGGGTATTATGCTCAGTGAAATAAGCCAAGCAGATAAAGACAAATACCAAATGTTTTCACTCATCTGTGGAGTATAAGAACAAAGGAAAAACTGAAGGAACAAAACAGCAGCAGTATCACAGAACCCAAGAATGAACTAACAGTTACCAAAGGGAAAGAGACTGAGGAGAATGGGAGGGTAGGGAGGGATACAGGCAGGGAAGAAGAAAGGGGGTATTATGATCAGCATGTATAATGTGGTGGGTGGGGGAAAGGGGAGGGCTGTGTAACACAGAGAAGACAAGTAGTGATTCTACAACATCTTACTTTGCTGATGGACAGTGACTGTAATGGGTTTTGTTGGGGGGACTTGGGGTAGTGGAGAGCCTAGTAAACATAATGTTCTTCAAAAAAAACATTGGTGATGCGGGGAGTGTACTTAACATAATGTTACCCATGTAATTGTAGATTAATGATAAATAAATAAATGGATAAAAAACCAAACCAGTTAGGATTCTATTTTAGAATTGAATTAAAAAATTAAAAAAAGAAAGAGAAAACCTTTTCCTACATTAGTTTTATATCTAAAAAATTTTAATTTGGTTGTACTTATGTCCTTATTGGAGGAAAAGACATATTTTATATTTCTACCTTTATACCTAGACTTATGATTTTTCATGAACACCCCCAATTCCTGTTTACATTGAAAATGCAGACAATAATCTACATATTTAATATGGTAATGGTTAGACAAATTAAGATGCATTTAAAAGGCAGAATACGGCGACATTATCATTAGCACATGGATTACAGTCCTTCCTGGAAAGACAGAAAATTTTCAAGGAAAATAGAATGCAGAATATACAGTGATTTCAACGATATAAAAAGAAATACATGTACTTTGGGAAAAGTAGGAAGTAAACCCTGAATACTGTAAACGTGTCCTTATTTTTACTCCGTGGAGTAATTGAACTAAAATTCAATTTAAACAAACAAAAAAGAACCCTTCTTGATCCTCCTCCCTTCTAACTAATTTCATCCAGCAGCTTATGAACGTCCCCCATTATTTCATCCGTGTCTTGTCTTCCGTTAAGTTCTCAAACACCTCAAGAGTTCTGCTTCTTTTCTGCCTCATTCCTTTATTTACAGGGCTGTGTTCATAAGGACTTAATACCGTTGAATACATTAACTTCCCCTAGGAAGAGATTTCTCTTACTAGCAACTAAAGATCAGGAATGAAGAAGACAAACACAAAACAGGTTAAAGCATTCAGAAATTTAACAAATGAATCTCGACTATGAGGCACTGCTATAGGACTGGAGCTTCTATGGAAAGGCACCTTTTGACTCACTCTAAGTCTTAAAGAGAAGATCGTTTCCAAATGTTTTCTATTTTTAAAAAGAACCCAGTCAGACTCATAGGGCACTCCTAAATTTAATGACGTAAACTGTGTCCTGGACCGAGAGTTACTGGGAGGGGAAGTAATTCATGATTATAATTATGACCTTTTCTGTCTTCCCAAATCTCAAGCCTCACATGTAAGAGTTGTCTCGTTTAACTCTTCAGGGACTGTTGCCAGGTAACAGTAAGCACGTGAAATATTTGTTGACTGAATAAATGAGTGGGCAAACTAGGTTCTGTCCTTGATGGCAGAAGGGGCAAGAAAAAGCCCATGTGAAGGAAATTGCTATTTGTTTCATGGACAAGGAAGATATCAGGGTGATTCATACAAATTAAAGATGATGCCCAGCTGACATCTTTAACGGATTCTACTGAAATAAGAAAATGGGCAAGGTGCACGGCACAGTGACGATTAGTCAACCTGTGTTGAATGAATAAAAAAAGAACCAGCGCCAGAACTGGGACCTAGGCCGGTCTCGCGGCGGCTGAGGAGCCGAAGGCCGTCTCCGCCCACCCGGAACCCGGAAGCAAAGGGCCGGGACGCAGATAAGTGAGAGCAGGGGTCCGGGAGGGCGCGGGGCTCGCCTCTGAGGCGCGGCCCGCGGCTGTCATTCCCTCCCGGCTACTTCCCCACCAGGAGGAAGGTACGGGGGCCGGATGAGCTAAAGCTCCAGATCCCCCGAAGCTGGCCCGTCCCCCCGCAGCACTTACTGCTGAAAGGGGCCCTGGAGGCAGCAGCCCGCTCCGCCCCGGCCGCCCGGCGTCAAGGAAAGCACTTGAAGGCTGCCTGCAGCCGTCAGGCTCCCCAGAATTTCCTGCTCTCTGTGCAGTTGCGCCCGGGATCCCAGCTGCCCCGTTGCCTCGGCGGGAACTGGCACCAGCAACACAGGTAGAACCCGCTCCATGGCTCTAGCGCTGCAGGTACCGCCGGCGGCCGCACTGCCCGCCCCCCTACTCTGCAGCCATTTTGGTCTGGCCGTTTCTTCCGGTCACCTGGGCCAAGCTGCGTTATGGGCGTGCGCAGTGTGGCGGACCGTCTCTACCTCGTGACTTCCCGCTCTTACTGCTGAGTTCTCTGCGGGATAGCGCTCGGGGCGAGAGAAGACGGCTCCAGCCACTAGGGAAACCCCACGTCCGCCGTTGGCTCAAGTCTGCTGTTTACTACCCTACCCTAAAATAGTTGCGGGTCTAATTTAGCGGCCTAAGGCTGGCGGCAGCAGCTGTTGTATATGGTATTACCCTTTGCCTTCTTAATCTAGCTGCTTTCTGTCTATTGAAACCAGATTCCTGCCTTGCTTCGCTTTTCTTTTGTGTTTACAGGCCGTTGGGTCGTGGTCTTGGTAGCGAGCAATGCTGAAGTAAAAAATATACATTGTAATGGGCAGGGAAACAGTAGGTAAGGGGTGGAGCGGTTGAGTTCCTGTTTCATTACTACTGTTTTCTCAGGGACGTATGATCCAAGGTCCTCAGCAGGACGGGAGAGTAACAATGGGTAGAGGGAAGAGGCGTGGAACAGGCGTTTTGGAAAGGTCTAATAGCCAAACCTTTCTTTACACATTGTTTTCCACAGTCAGATATGGTCAACACAGTTATCAAATGCCAACTCCTCTTTTGGTGCTTTGATTCCCATCATCCTTTTGTTCTAGGACTTTGTGTTTGTAAAATTCATTTTTTCCTGCATTGCCATCTTCCCCTTTGAGGTGCTTTTGTTACCATGCAGACATACTATGCCATTCTTAAAAAAAAAGCCCTCCCTTAATCTACATTGACCACTACCTGTCCAATTTCTGCTTCCCTTTGAGAAAATTCTAAATTGACTCTTGTAGTTAGTCCCTCCCTTCTCACCTGAACCCCTCTGAACAGCTGCCATCTCCACCAAAACTGTCCTTCAAGGTCAGTGAGCTCCATGTTGCCAAACCAGCAGTCACACTTCATTCCTTTTTTTTTAAGGTATCATTGACATACAATCTTAGGCTCAGGTTTCACATGAGCAATATTGTGGTTACTACATTCCCCCTATTAGCAAGTCCCCACCACATACTCCATTACAGTAACTGTCCATCAGCGTAGTAAGATGCTAGAGTCATCACTACTTGTCTTCTCTGTGCTATACTGTCTTCCCTTTGCTCCCCCACCTCCCACATTATGTGTGCTAATCATAATGCCCCTTTTTCCCCTTATCCCTCCCTTCCCACCCATCCTCTCCAGTCCCTTTCCCTTTGGTAACTGTTAGACCATTCTTGGGTTCTGTGAGTCTGCTGCTGTTTTGTTCCTTCAGTTTTTACTTTGTTGTTAACTCCACAAATGAGGGAAATAATTTGGTACTTGTCTTTCTCCCCATGGCTTTTTTCACTGAGAATAATACCCTCTAGCTCCATCCATGTTGTTGCAAATGGTAGGACTTGTTTTCTTCTTATCCTCATTCCTTTCTTAAAGTACATTCTTTTCAACTTGGGTAGGAAACCAGGGAAGTGGTGTTAAGCAATTTCACCGACAACTTCAGTTTCCTCTGTTGGCTTCTTTTTATATAATCTCTTCTATTTTTAAGTAACATCTATGTGCTGATTACTCCCACTTTTGTGTCTTCATCCCTGACCCTTTTCTTCAGCTTCATACTGCTGTTTAACTACCTACTTGATATATCTATTTGGATTTCTAAGAGGAATCAGACTGAAAATGTCAATTGACCCCTGCCCAAAACCCATTTTTCTCATTTTTCCCCACTTCAGTATGGGGCACACACTATTCACTCTACCTAGGAGTCATCCTTGATTCTTAACCACCATCTTTATCCAACCCATCAACAGTGTCTATCAAATCTTACTTCCAAGACCTATTCCAAATCTCTTGTGGAATTTCCATCGCTACTGCTTTTCAATTCTTGCTTGAGTTGTTAGAAAAGAACCTCTGAACATTTTTTCTGCTGCTGCTCATTCCTCCAGCAATTCAGCAGTGTTCTAAAAACAAATCATGTCATGTCACTTTTAAAATTCTTTTTAAAAGTTCTAACTTTTCTTTCACAGTTAAAAGTCCAGATTAAAAAAAAAATCCTGGCTTACATATCTGTACCCTGCCTCTCTCTAACCTCATCACCCTCTCTTCTTATCTGTGTATCTCAGCCACACTTTCTTTTCCTGAAACCAAGTTATTCTCATTTGAGGGGCCTTGTGATCACTAGTACCTCTACATGGAATGCTTTTCATCTCAGCTTACCCATACCTCTTTGGCTGTCCTGGATCTTTGCACTCCAGTTGTTCATCACCCAGTTTTATTTTCACCATGGTATTTATCATTAAGTATTTTGTATTAGTCCCTGTCCAACCAGAATGTAAGCTTCAGAAGAGCAGAAACTTTTCATTCTTCAACATGGTTACCCCACCACCTAAAATGGTGCCTGGTTCATAAAAGGCACTCCATTGATGTTGATGAATGCATGATCTTAAGTTAAACCAAACATTTCATATCCTAAAGGAGATATTTATAACCAACCCTCTTACTCAATACTTTATCCTTAAAAAGAAAATGGCAATATTGGAGCAATTTACAAGATCATACTTTGGTAGATGTAACAAGGCCTTGTCCCTTTTATTCAGGACACTCTTGGAGAAGTCACACATAAAATGGCTTTTATTATGCCTCCTAACTTACAAGTTCCAGCACATCATTGTATTATCTCTTTAATGATACCTTATGCCGTGCCTTTTTAGGCACATCATTCAGGTTTTCAGAAATGCATAAGAAAATGCTTTGGTCTGGTCCTCCAATATATAAGGCATAAGAGATGTCTTCAGACTCTGGATCCTGTGGATAGGTCATACATCCAGAGTCTGATGTTAAACTGTTCCCACATACATATATTCCAGAACAACCATATCAGTAGATTGGGATAAGCCTAAAAAGAGAACAGGTGTTAACTGCAAATACAATTTGTATTTGTGATTTAACACCTGACAATTTCCAGCAAATGGTAAATTCTATGGACATAGATGACATCCATGTTTTTCAAGCTTAGATCTTGGAACAGTTGTCCCTCAAGTATTTTCTGAATGAACAATTCAGTTTCTCAAATTAATTCTTGCCTTCAAATAACTTAGCATGATAAATTACCAAAGCACCTGTAAATAAAAGGTTTGAAGAAAGGTCAAAAAGCCCTAACTTGGGGCAGAATGGTTACTCAGTAAATACCAGAATGTCTAGAACTACTTCCAAAGGCAAGTTATCTTCCATACCCTTGGTTTAAAAGAATTAGAGAAGTCAGTGACAGAATCTAGATTGGGCTTGTTTATGCCATCACTTACTCCATCCTAGCCTCCAGCTGCTGTACCAATTGTTTGTCCACATGGTGACAGAACAGGGGAAGAAGGTTACTGGGGAAAGCTAGGGGTTCTGCCAGAGAGGCTGTAGGCATTTGGGCTATCTCCCAGGCAATCAGAACCACCATGTCTGTCCTGGAGGACAGAAGAAGAGATACATGAGTCTTTACATTTATACAGGAAACCAACTCAAGGCCAAGATTATTATCCTACCACCACCGTCACCCTCTGCACATGTAGCAATTACAAAATAACATTTACACACATATATGCCAGGCAATGCTTAGTGCTTTACACATCTTATAAACTCTGGTTAATACTATCATCCCTAGAATCTTGTCTATAGATGAGGAGACAGACTAGTAACATGCCAGAAGTTACAGTGCTAGTAAATGACAGAGGCAGAATTCAAGTCCAAGTCTGTTTGACTCTAAAGCTTGTCCCTTTAATTACTGTGTTACACTGCCTGCCATGCCCAACACTGTGGGGCATTGTAGGGGGTGGGGAAAAAGGCAGAATAGGTAAAACTCTGCTATTTTTCCCTTCTCTGTCCAACCTCCTCCCCAATACTTGAGGTATTTCCTACATGGTATATTCCTCTGGCTCAGCCTACACATCCCAGGGGAGTGGAAATAGTATTTACACAAGGCCTTTATGATCTTACCAAGCTGAATGGTCATTCTTGGGTTCCTCTAGGGAAGAATCCAGGGATACCAGCTGCTCTCCATGACTTAGCAAAGCATAGAGCAAAGAAATTCCAAACTGAAAATGATAAAGTATGCAGGATAAATTGTTTGCCCTGGGCATTCAGTGCTTCCCTGGCTCTGCTGTCTTTACCACTAAAAGGGCATGTATACAAATGGAGTTCAATGCCCATAAGACTGTCAGGTTTTACACTGGCTGGCCAAATAATTCTTAGACCTTTTCAAGGAAATCGCTGTTCCAAATTCCAAAAAATTCTTCTGGGGGGCATTAAACACACACTCGTGGGTTCTACCCTCAGGAGTCAGTCTGTAGATCAGGAATGACCCAGGAATCTGATGCAGATAGTCTAAGGACCCCACTTTACGATGCATTGTTTTAGGCAAAGATCTCCAGAGAGGCGTTCACAAGACAGTCTATTGGGATATTAGAAGATACCAGAACTGTCACATTTAGAGTCTCATCTTTTAAAACTTCCTACCTTGTATTTGTTATGTACTTAATGTTAGTAGAGTGTTACATGTACATGACTTATAAACAAACACGTGGGTGATACAGTTCAGAATTTTTTTACTAGAAGAGATACACAAAAGTTTGGTGACCCCAGCAATGCCATTATCGGGGAGCTTGTTAGAAAAGCAGATGTGGGGGCCTACTCTGGGTCTGCTAAATCAGACTCCCTGGAGGTGGCACCAAGGAACTGGTGTCCAACATGCTTCCCAGGTCGTCCTAGCGCTCATTAGATGTTGGGAAGTACTGCAGAGGATACAATGGCGAGAGATTGTGGAGAGCTGAGAACATTCCCTCACTTGTTCCTTGCCAGTGATACCACCTGCAGGTCATCATATCCAAAGAGAAAAGCCTCCCAGTTGTTACCTGATTCTGAAGCACCACAGTGACTGGTCGCTCTGAGGAGCCAGGTGGAAGCAACATGAGTCCCTGAAGTCCTTGGAGGAGTTCATGGAAGGCCAAGTGGCTAATACATTTACCGAGAGGTTTGAACAACATTTGTAGGGCCTGCAAGAAGGTAAATGCTTCTCTCAGACTCCACTACTACTTTACCTCCTGCCTCGCCTTCAACTGCTCTTCTTGCTGATCTTCCTTTGGTATCTTCCTGCTCAGGTTCCATACCAGGTCTATCACTGCTCATATTTCTCCTCTAACACAACCTTCAACACCTGCTTGTCCTAGGATGCCTTAAGAAAAGTAAATAGAGCTCAGCACATATCAGGGAGTCTTTAACTTCTCAAACTCCACAGCACAGTCACACCTGTGCAACCATAGGCCCATGTGTTTTCTTTCATTTGTTGTAACTGAAGATGATCAGTTGTTCCTATAGTAATTTGTTCTGTAACTCCCTCTCGTGGAGATTGGGTTGGCACTGCTCAGTGCCCAGGCACTTTCTCTGGCATCTCTGGGTGTGGGGAGTGGAAGAGGAAAGATTCCCTAACCTGTTCACACAACCATCCCCTGCTCTGCTGAATGCCACAAGTACCTGATCAGCCATGTCCCTCCTGACCAGGAGGGGCAGGTGGTGGGTGACAGCCAGAAGGAGGCTAACAGCTCGATCTTGGGGCAGGAAGGGGAGCAGCCGGGCCACTAGGGCTTTCCCCTTCCTCACAGAAAGTACCTGCAGGAAGCCTTCTGCTGCCTCCCTACAAGGGAGAAGAAGAGCATTTTCAGGGCTCTGCATAGAGGAGAGGGCTACATGCCAGAAAGGAGGGGCAGAAACAAAGCCAATGTCTGCTGGTCCTTCCCTTTCTAGGCCAAGGCATGACCCTCCCACACTCACTCCAGATTATTCTGCTCCTGAATCTTTAAGGCCTCAAAGATCTTCTCAACCTGGTTGCTTTGCTGCTCAGAGTAGCAGGCCTGTGAAAGTCCATCCCTCTGGCCCTCCTCTATCTCTAGTAACTGAAGGAACATCTGGGAATTTGAGGGTAGGAAAAGAGAAAGATGAGGTCAATTTGAACAATATCCGATTCTTTGGGTAAGTTAGGGACTCATCCCTAGGGGACCAATGTCTCACCTTCTCAATCTGGTACAACACGTGCAGCCTCTGACTGCTTGCAGCTCCTGCCTCCTAGGAGGGAGAGTCCCAGCCATCAGCCATACCTCCACAGAAGCGGCCCAGGGCTCAGGAAAGCTGGAAATTGAGCTGGAAGGGCTAATACAAAGCTTAATCACACTGCTTTCTCACTCCTAGGTTACAATCTGAACTCAAGCATGAGATTGCTACAGACGTTTCTCCAAAACAGGAGAGAAAAGAGGTTCCTGGAAGATAACGTTTCTACCTGCTCTTGAGTTCCATGGGGTACAGCATCAATAGCTCGGCGAGGGCTAAAACACGTCGATACAGCTACCTGGCCCAGGGAACCCTCAATTCGAACCACTGCATAAAAGGAGTCAAGACAGGCACATTCCCCTCTCCTTTCCACCCTCAGTTTACTCACATGTCCTGCCCAACCCAGCAGGTTAGCCCTGGTCCTACCTGACTCGTAAGCCTCTGCTTTTTGAATGTAAGGTGTTACCAGCTTGAATGACTCAACTTTGCTCCTTTGCCCAAGTAGTTCTTCATCTGCCTGCTTCTTCTCTAGTTTCTGATAATATTCCTGTGAGCCCATGGGAGGGAAAAATGTATCCTTAACTTCTGAGTTTAGAATTAAGGTTCTCAAGCACAACTTCTTAGTATACCCTTTCATATAGCGTTCACTCCAGAAATAGTCCTGGCACCTCAGGCCATTCCAGCAATCATTCTACAGCATCTTAAGCACTTCAGGCCTCACGCCTCCTATCTCGGAATCTCCATAATGAGGACTTGAAGAGTGAGATACCACCGCCAGATGGAAAGGTCAAGAGCAAAGTGGAAAGCCAGGAAGCCAGCCTGTCCCAGCATCTGTACCCTTTCCACATTCCTTAGTCCCAAGATACATGCTGCATGCCATGTATCCTGCCCCCTCCCCCATTTTAATTTTGTGGTCCTACCTGTGTTTTCCAAAACCAGAGTTATTTGATGGCACCAATACCATCAACACCTTGAAGTACATAGATAGCACTACTGTCAGCTGGCCTTTTGGCCAGTTTTATACTTCTGAGGATTTTCTCAGCACCTCTAGTATCTTAAAGAAATTAGTAAAGTCCCAAGCTAAAATAAAGCCATTGACTGCTAGTCAAACAAGAATTTGAATAAAACTCCTTCATTTAGGAGAAATGCCAAAAAGGCAAGCATATAAAACTATTTCACTTTCAGTGATCCTGGAGGAGAGTTTCTGAAGCATGGTGGAAGGAAAGAAACTGATGTAAATAGGAAGGAGGAAAAGGTGAGAAACTTGGTAGGGGGGCTCAGAGTTGAAGAGAAAGTGAAATATAGCTTAACCAGCCCTAAAACCCCATAGACAAGAATTCACCCTATAAAGCGGAGATAGGAAGCAGGGGGAAATAAGTTAGAATGTCTGCCAGCCTTTGTTCAGTTCAACAAATTGAATCCATTATTTATGAGATCCCTGTGCTTTAGATTTAAATAAGTAAAAGGTAAGCAGGTGAATGTTTATAACAAGACATTTCAAAGGCCCATAAAAGTACACAAAAGGCAGAAAAGTTCACATTTCCAAGCTGAATAGTAAAAATTCTTGGCAAAGGATGGAGACAAAAATCTTAAAGTATGTTTGGGGAATTGTAAATATCCTATTACAGAAGTGTAGGAGAATACATGGGAATGAGCTTGGAACACCAGTTTTAGAAATGTGGTCCCTCTCCTGTAGTGACTGTCTCTCTCCCACCTGAATGGACATGGCGTTTCAGAGCTGAAGAGAGGGCCCATTTGGCCCCAAAGTCAGAAGCTGGGAAGAGCAGCTGGGGCTCACCTGGTAGTAATAGTCATCCAGGTGGGGGTTCTCACTCTGCAGCTGAACCATCTGCACTTTTATCACCCAGTCCTTCTCTTTTCGGGTCATGAGGTCAGCACAGGGGTCTGGCTGCTGAGACCAAGGCTTCTTGACTGGGGGACTTCAAGCCAGGAGGAGCATCCCTTCAGAACAACCCACCCCTGCCACAGTGAAATTCCCAGCAAGTGGTGGACAGGGAGTGAACTGGCTGGGAAGGACGGGAAAGACTGCAGAGGTGGGCAACTCTGCGGGACCCTTAATTGTTCAGGGGCTCTGGGGGAGACACTGCAACACAAGGGACTAGCCAGCATACCGACAGGGGGCTGTTCACCCTGCTGCTTGTCTGGGCATTACCTCGGCGTCTGACAATGTCGCTGCAGCTGCAGGATCCACTGGTGCCAAGGGTGGAGCCGGGCAAGAGGGCTGTGAAGGCTTAGAAAGAAACTTGGGCTGGCTGAAAGCAAGCTCTCTCCATTCATTTAGCCTCTGGTAACCTCAGCCAGACATCTAAGGAAACCCTATCCATTTATGTGATTCCCCAAAGCCAGCCTCATGGAAGGTCACAAATCCTAGCTCAGCAGAGCTCACATTGCCCTCCAAGATACACTGTCCTGCAACTTGGCTGCAGGAAATCTTGACACAGTAAAAAATCATTGGACCTGATTTTTGGGCATTCTGAATCCTACTCTAGGTTTCTGCCATGCCAGTTAACCTCAAGTAAATTCTTTTTAGTCTCTCTTGGTCTCCATCTTCTCTTCTGTGAGGCAGAAAGGATTGAACTCTACCTCAGACTTCCCTTAATAAGTTTCTGTAACCATTTTTATAGTGGCAGCTGATAGAGTGGCCCCATCCCTCCTTAGCCACCAGCTCCTGAGATCTGCGGAGAAGAGCTCAGCCTGTTGTGGACACTGGGGTTCCCAGCACCCGGAACCAGTACCTGAACCTAGGGGGCCATGAGGTCGGTGGGCTGCAGAAGAGAGATGGGTCGGGCGAGAGCAGTCGAGGTCCAAAGTGCCGTATGGGAGAGCTGGCACTGGGAAAGGTAGGCCGGAAAGGAACTGGTGACAAGTAGTCCAGGGTCTGAGAGAAGAATTAAGGGGTCTGGGAGAAGGGCACCTCCAAAAGGATGCTGTCTTGCTAAGTGCCTTTCCTGCCTCTGTTCTCACCTGCCTTTTCTCCTCAAGAACTTCCATCAACATTTTGCTATCTTGTAGGGCCCTCAACCCAGCTGTGAGGGCACCACACTGGGGGCCCACCCTTGTTTCCAACAGGGTTTTTACCTAGGGAGCAGCTCTTCAGTCCCTGACTGAATGTGGGGGCATGTGCTTTCCTACTGTCTGGTGAGTCAGCACCTCTCCCTCTCCTCTCAGGCTTTTGTGTCTCCAGCCACTGGGAGCAATGTTTATCTGCCTCTTTTCTGACTCACCTAAAGCCCTCCTCAGAGCTGTGTTCCCTTGTTTTCCCTGAAATTCCTCTACCCCAGACCAAGTTCCTATCACCTTAATGGAAGGGCAGGTGCTCTCTGTAGCTGTAAGCTCAGTGCTCCTCATCTGCTGAAATGTAGGGAAGGGGAAGTAGGGAACTAGCTTGTCCTTTTTCATGCAAATTGCCAATTGTCCCAGTACCACCTCTGTGATTTACCAAGCCTCCCTGCATCTTAGGTGTCTCCTACGTCTCCTTCCTGACATCTCACTTTGGGTGCTTCAGCTCCAGAGCAAGGACAAGAGCAGGCTGAACGTGATGGTAATAAGGGGCACTTGGCTTGCTGCCTTTCAGCACCCAGTCACTTTCACAAAGGAGAGAGACTCACCTGCCACAGGAAGTGCAAGGAGGCAGGTGCCATCCCCAACACACCAGGGGCCTTCATTCCAGGGGAGTGGAGAAGACCTCTCTGGAAATGGAGAGAAGAAAACCCAGGCTCGAATTAGCCCCTGTGTGTCTTCTACATTCATCTGTTTCCATGGTAGGGAGAGGGACAGCAAGGCCACCGATTTCCAATATCCAGGACAGTGGAAGCCTGGCCAGGACCTCTCTCCTTCCTCTGAGGGGAAGCGAGACTGGTACCTCAGGAGGAGGTTGAAGGAGGTTCTGAGTCACTTCATTTTTACATGGGAATCCTTGTCTCCACTGGTTGTAGGAACCCAAGGGAGTAAACCAGGAGTGGACTGCTGAGACACAGGAGCCCGGGGTCAAAGATGATTCACTTTCAGTGCCAGGAACAGGGCCACTGCACCTTTGTGCAATGCACAGCCCTGCTCGGATCTGGTTGTTAAGGTGAAGACAACATCAGAAACTAAGTGGGAGGGAGACAGGAGGAAAGAGGGAAGGAAGGAGAATCCCTACTCAGGTTTAAGCTGAAATAGAAAGTGTTAACTCAGAACCTATCTTAGGAAGGGGTGGAGAAGAGGAGAGGGATGTTTAGCAACAGTCCACAAGACACAGACAGTTCAGTTGTCCCCTGAGCCCCCCTGCCATGGTACCTGGGTGTTATGGACAGCACTGAGGATAGCTGGATCCCTGAGACTGGTCTCTTCTTCCTCTTCCTCCTGGTCTGGGGTTATATCTGGATCCAGATCCTCCTCCTCCTCTTGCACCTCCTCCTCTTTTTCCTCCAGTGGAGAGGCCGACACGAGTTCTTCCTCAGGAGCCAAGGGGCCAAAGAACTTGCCTGGGCCTTGGTTCACCTGGGGGCCTGAGGAGGAAGTAGATGGGAGCTCAGGTGTGAGGAGTCTCATCCAGAGAGGCTGCTTCTCAGTAGCACTTTTCATAAGCTGTCTCCAGCACCACTTTCAAACAACACCTCCTGTTTTAAGGGTTCAGCTCAGCCTTGCAACCCCAGGAGGCCCCTAACCATCCCCCACTATAGCTGATGGGATATGGCAGGTTCCAAACACCTTTGCTTTCCACATCCTCTCTTCACTTGCCTCATTAGGTACCCACACAAGCTTCACCTCCTGTCTCCCAGCCAACAGTGTTTTCAGTGCCTTCTGAGTCAACCAAGTTCTAGCTGCTCCAACCCACTGAAATGTAGCACTACTGTGTGCCAGATACTTTACATGTATGTGTGTGATTCTCACAATAATTACACAGGCAGTTATTGATAATTTCACAATGCAGGTGAGGAAAAATAGGACCTAGAAAAGTGATCTCAGTCACCCAGTGTGATGTAGCTAGCAAGTAGAAGAGTTTGGGAATCACTCCCAGCAATTCCAGACACCCAGGTCCATGTCCATCCACTGAAACAGTGGAGCAAGTCTATGCACCCCCAAGGTTTTTACCCAGATTCTAAGGCCCACTTGGTGATACCTTTGAGGCATTTCATCTTTGCGGGCTGGCAGACTTCCTCCATGGATTTTTCCTGTGGTGGGAGCATTGTCAGACTCTAGAAGGTAAACCTGGGACAGGGAAGAAATCCAGAGATAGTCTCCTCCTCAGTAAGGATGGCAGAGCACCTGAAATAGCCCCAGTCTCCCCCCAGCAACACTGTCAGAGTAGTGTTGGCCTAGGGCCTTGAGGAGCAGGACCCTGGGCTCTCAAACTGCCCTAAATCCCCACCCAGCTCTAGAGAGCTGTCTTGCCAGTGGGCAGAAATGAGAGAGGGGGCTAGGAGTCAGAGCCGTAGGATCTCCACACAGACACCACCAGCCTTTATCTCTGCTCAGCGAGGGGGCCGCACCACCTGACTGTTGCTGTCTTTTCTGCCTGGTTTAGCCTTGGCAGCTTAGGCAGGGCAGGCCTGCTGCACCTGGCTTTAAGAGTCCCGGTCCCTCCCCTGCACCCCAATTAAAGGGCCAGTGTCTCCCAACCACTGCACCTTGGTGGAAATATCAGCATATATCTAATAATAAAGAAAACCCTTAAAAAAGGCAAGAGAAATAAACTGCATTTTTAACCACCTAAGGTTGTGAGTATATAGATCCGGGGGTCTATATTTGGTATCAAATATTTTTAAAGAGGATCCCTGTTTTCCATAGCCGTCATAGGAACTTTGTGAGGTGTGTTCCCTTCAGTCCCTAGGTCTTGCTCCATCAAAGTTGATAGGAAAGCCCTGGGTGGGTCTTGAGGTGATTGCCCAGCAATCAAGATCTCAGTGCTTCACTGCAGCGCACATGTGGATCCCCAAAGTTCACCTGGGGATGCCTGTCCCTCACTGGGTCCCGTGAACTTAAATCTGCCACTTACTCTAACTCATGAGGGACCCCTGTGAATTTAGAAGCCAGATCTTCAAGGTAAAAACCCTTTTGCATGAGTTATACAATCTTGTGTCTTCTTGGCTGCTCTAGTAGAAAACTGGGTCAGAAGCTCAGGGGTAAAAAGAAAACAAATCAAGCTCATCAGTACTGCAGGTCTGCAAAACCTGAGACCCACCTCATAAGCTTCCATGTGACCTGGAATCTGGGCCCATGTCCTGAGTTCAGCTAAACCCCACATGGCTTCATAGAACTTCTGAATAAAAATTAAAGCAAAGCTGCTTTTTCTACATCCAAAATGCAAGTTAAGGCTCAGTCATCATGGTTATAGGACCATGGTTCTTGGTGACTCTAAAGAAAAATATTTGTTTTTGAAAGTTTTACTGTAGGACCTAGAAACTATATGGGTGAAGGAAAAAATGTTAAGTAGCTTGAAAGTTACTGAAAAATGTTTCAAACATCTGAGTTGGGTACAGGCCTTTTTGGTAATGTTATTCAGCTGTTTCTCTCAAGAATTTCCTAATTACTCACTTCGGCATTATTAAAGAAGGGGCCAAATTGTGAACTGCAGTGTTCCAAAAATGATTTATTAAGTTGTTGTAGAGACTAGGTCTTAGGGAGAACCACTTGCTGCATGCAGATTCTTATTATGAAGGGATGTCCTTCACCATGGTTCCAGAGCAGTGGACTAGGCTCATTGTTTAAGAACACAGCCCTGCCTTGGCTGTTTGGAGTTTCACTTCGGACCTAGCAGCTTTTGTGAACGTCCCTTATGCTTGCGTGAAGTCTTGTATGTTTATTGATCCCTTAAATTTCCTAGCTTTCTGTCATGGTTTAACTATACCAAGTTTAAGCCAAGCATGTGCTAGGCTTGGGGCGCAGTAGTGAATAAGACAGATGCCACCCAGGACCTCTTAAGAGCTTCTCATACAATAGGAAGTACAGACAATAAGAAGTACAGACAAGTTAACAGGATTGTTGGATCTGATAAAAGATACATTATAAATGTTTACATTTACTGAATAAAACACCCAAGGACTGTTATACTTTGATGGTGAGATTTTTTTTTTGTAGATAATATAATAATTTTTTATTGAAGGGTAGTTGACACACAGTATTACATTAGTTTCAGGTGTACAACACAGTGATTCAACATTTATATACATGATAATTCTAGGTACCAGCTATCATCATACCAAGTTGTTACATTACATCCCAGTTACTTATTTATTTTACAATTGGAAGTGTGTACTTTTTTTTTTTTTTT